TGTGTACCCCCCATACCCTCATTCTAGTACCAGGTGCTGTAGGAGGTGTCAGGGTGTCCCGGGGGTTTTGGGGTGACCGTGTACCCCCCCATACCCCATTTCCCAGGGCCGGTTGATGTGGGAACTGCAGGGGGTGTTGGGGTGTCCCAGGGCATGCTGGGGTGACCCCGGGGAGTTTTGGGGTGACCGTGTACCCCCCCATACCCCATTTCCCAGGGCCGGTTGATGTGGGAACTGCAGGGGGTGTTGGGGTGTCCCAGGGCATGCTGGGGTGACCCCGGGGAGTTTTGGGGTGACCCTGTCCCCTCCCCCAGTGCCGAGTGATGCGGGAGCTGCGGGGTCAGGGCCAGTCCTTGGGCTTTGCCTTCGTGGAGTTCGAGGCACACGAGGAGGCTCTGGGGGCCCTGCGGCGCCTCAACAACAACCCCGAGCTCTTCGGGCCCCACAAGGTCAGTGGGGGGTCCCCCCTTTGTGTCCCCCCCTTCCCCTCGACTGGGACCCTCCCAGAGCTGCCCTGGAGTTCCGGGGTGCCCCCAGGATTTCCTGATACCCCCCAGGGGTTTTAGGCTGTCCCCGAGGTTCTGGGGTGCCCCTGGATGTAGTGGGGGGCACCTTGGCTGTTTCTGTGTTCCTCCTGGGTTTTGGGGTGTCCCTGGGGATTTCAGGGTGCCCCTGTTGTTCTGGGGTGCCCCAGGTGTTCTGGGGTGCCCCCCTCGGGTCTTGGGTGTTTAAGGGTCTTCTGGGTTGCCCCCAGTGCTCCAGGAGGGGGTTCTGGGGTCTCCCCCCTGGGTTTAGGGCCCCCCCTGGACTTTGGGGTGCCCCCACCGTGTTGGGGTGCCCAGGGTGTTCCAGGTTTCCCTGGGGTTCTGGATAGGCTTTGGGGTCTCTCCCTGTGTTTCAGGGTGCCCTCACAGTGGTTTGGGGGAAGTTCTGTGATGTCCTCCCAGTTTCTGGGCTCTGCTCCACTTTTGGGGTGTCCCTTGGTGTTTGGGGGGGTTCCTGGGTGCCTCCCCAGTTCCAGGGTGTTCTCCGCTGTTCTGGGGGGTTCCTGGGTGCCATCCCAGTTTGGGGCTCCCCCTTGGTTCTGGGGTTCCCCCTGGAATTTTAGGGGGTTCCTGGGTGTCCCCTGGTGTTCGGGGGGGGTTCCTGGGTGCTCCCCTTGTTCCGGGGTGCCCCCCCCGGTCTCAGGGTGCCCCCCGTGCCCCCCCAGCGCCCCATCGTGGAGTTTGCCCTGGAGGACCGGCGGAAGCTGCGGCTGCGGGAGCAGCGGATCCAGCGTGGGCTGGTACGGGGGGGACACCCCCTGACACCCCCTGACACCCCCTGACCCCCCCGGGGCCCCCCCAGCCCGGGGCA